CCCTTTTGTCAGTGAACCAAATTGCCATTGTAAGTCCAAGACTACCTGTATTATCTACTTGCTCATTTTAAAAATATTGTATGAATTTGGGTAGTCGGTGATGTCGTAGGTTGGTTCTGTTCTTTCTGGGACTGTCCATCCCGAGAAGTGCTGACCTACAGATATGAATACATAGAACAGATTTTGCCAAAATTAGCAGCGCTAAAAAAAAAATTCCCCTTGCCAGCTAAGGTTGATACGGAAACCTCTTAGGAGTCTCAGGAGAGAAAACTCCTTTGCCTATCTAAAGTTGCTTGCTTGCTTATTTATTTATTTATTGATGGAGATGAACCCGTGTTGCTTCAAGAGCTTTTTCCACCAAAATAATAGCAGCAGCTCTTCAGAGATCCATTTGTTGCCGTGGTGATATGCCCACTTCTTTTGTTTGGCCCTCTCCCACTTCAGCGTACCCACTTCCTGTTATGAACCTGGTGAAAATGCCTTGCAAGTTCTTCGGAGCTAATCAACAGCAGGCGTCCTTCTTTTCATCTGATAACTACGGCGCAGGGTCTTGTAAGAATAACAATGCAGCGCGAATTGTGTAAAGCTGGGCTTATGGGACTCTTAATAAAGAAGAAGGGGGTCCGTCCGCATCAGCCGAGAGAGTATGTGGCAGAATGTAATCTCTCCCATCCGCTGAAAATACCAGAATTCAAATAGCGCCCCTGCTATGAACTGTATTCATACATTAGTTCTATTCCTTTTAAAAATGTTTTGGCTCTATACATCAGCATTTATTTATTTATTTTTACCAAAGTCCTGGTGGGTGCTTCTTATTTTTTTTCTTTTTTTTTTTGCCTCCAGCTGAATGAACCCAATTCTGTTTCTCACATCCTCTTCTATTTTCTTCCAGGAATGAGATGGAAAGACACTTTTTGGAGCTGCTGCAGTTCAATATCAATGTTCCTGCCAGTGTTTACGCCAAATACTACTTCGACCTACGCTCCTTAGCAGATGATAACAACTTGTGCTTCCTGCTGGAGCCGCTCAGTAAAGAACGAGCACAGAAATTAGAGGTAATAGTGTGAGGCTTGTATAGCTGTGGGTTTTGTGGCTGTTGATTACTCTACTGCAGTGTTTCTCAACCTTGGCAACTTGAAGATGTCCGGACTTCAACTCCCAGAATTCCCCAGCCAGCGAATGCACAGCTGGCTGGGGGATTCTGGGAGTTGAAGTCCACAGGACTTCAAGTCGCCAAGGTTGAGAAACACTGTATTAATGCCAATTCAGAATCTTTCCAGCTCCGATAACCTTAAAACAAATGTTTTGCAGGCTATCTCCCGGCTGTGTGAGGACAAATACAAAGACTTGTCAAAAGCTGCTATGAGACGGTCCTTCAGTGCCGATAACCTAGTTGGCATTCACCGTTCTAACGCCATCCTCTCTTGATCAAGAAGGAAAGCCACAACACTGGCACCAGCATCCTTACAAGTGGAACCACACTTTGACTCCCAGCTTCACCAGTCAGCAGCGATCGTGACTTTCACATGGAGGACGGGGTGAGCAAATACGCCAAGGAAGTTCAGAGCTGGAGGAGGAGTTTAATTCCATAGGGAAGAAAAGAAGGAGCCTTGTCAAAGGGGGAACACTCCCTTTAAAATCCAGAGGTGCAGAAACTTTTGATGAGTCTTTTTTTCCCCTTTTCTCCAAACTAATCTCCTCAATCCAGAGATGTTTGCTTACTATGTAGGCCTATAGCTGTGAGCTCTCTGCATTTTAAATAATGACTAGTTTTAAAACTTAGACTTTGAACATTAACAACACAGTCACAATGTTCTTTCCTCCTCAGTAACCCAGGACCCAACTGCAGTTGCCTTTCCAAGTCAGTGCAACAACCTTCATGCTAATACGGCGAAACGTCACTCTGGAACTGACGCCGTGGCATTAGCAAGCAAAGATTTCTCTTGTCTTTCAGTACGCACACTTCCAACTTCCCTAATTGTTTGTACACTGGTGGTCAATTTGGGGCAAGGAGTTGCTGAGTAGTATCTGCTAAGGGTAAACAAAATCTCTTCGTTTGAGGTTGTCAGAGCAAAAGGAAATGGTAGGGGGAGGAGAGGAGGAGCAGAGGAAGGATGTTCTGCATTTGCTAGTAAGTAAAGAAGTGGTTCGGGGTCTATTTCTTGTCAGTTTTGGTGCATCTTATATATTCCTCGTCAAGCTGTGGAAGAGACAGAATTCATAATACACTTTCTTTTCTTGAAGTGCTGAATAGAGTTGCCCTGGAATCCCTAAGAGATGAGTTGACTTGTTGATGAGCTACTTGGCTGAATTCTTCCAGTACAAACACAAAATATATAACTGCTTTTATTATATGCTTCCAACTAGCTTTAAATTCCACTGTCAAAACTCTGGTCCTGATGAGGGGAGATACGGTTGTTCTCAATTGATAAAATGGATTATTTTTCCTTAGAACCTAGCATTTTTTTTTTATTATCTTTGTTCTGAAGTAAAATTATATCGGCTTTTCCTAAATTTGCTCTTTTAAGAACAGAAATTTGAAAGAAATAGAATTGTTCTTTTTAAGAACGGAAGACATATTCTCAATTTACAGACCTTCACAATTCTGGGTCACAATATCTAAGTGGTTTTGTACTTTAAAACTTCCCACTGGACACTGCTTCTTACAGTTTTGATTCTTTTTTTTGTCTATTTAATTATGAAACCAAGCTTGCTTCTTGAGTGGTTCAGCAGCACTCAAATTGTTAGTCTTCATTACAGTATTTTAATCTACCAGCCCCAGTCTGTGGCATCAGGTATTGATTATAATTCAACTTTGAAATAAATGCTACATCTTCAGGTGGCTTCCCTTTGTCATGTTTGTATTAAAAAAAAAAGAAGAAGCTAATAATAAACTCTATTTTAATTAAGCTAAGGTGTTCTTTTGTTTGTGTTACATTTCCCCCCCTCAAGGAACATGTACACCAAAACACGGAATGCTGCTCCTTGCACAGAACTCAGCTGCCGTTGTGGCTATGTATCCTGGATTCCTCTTTCCTTCGGCCTGCAGCACCTGCTAGATTTCATGGGTCTATTTCAGTGTTTCTCAACCTTGGCAACTTGAAGATGTCTGGACTTCAACTCCCAGAATTCTGAGAGTTGAAGTCCGGACATCTTCAAGTTGCCAAGGTTGAGAAACACTGGTCTATTTCATTTTTTTTTTCCAATAGGTGTTCTTCCATTCTTCAGCTAAGGTTTTCAGAGTGGTTTATTTCTATTGACTTAGTGTTAAAATAAAGACAAAGCCACCTTAGTGTAAAGCATAGAAAGCAAAAAAAGATCAGAAAATCCTCTGCAGAAAAAAATCCATGGGATTCGAAAAACAGGGTCACCAGATTAATCTTGTTCCATAAGGCACTTGTACAATATCATCTTATCTCCAATCTACAACACAGTCCTTTCAACAGTTCCAAGAAGGTTCCACACCCATTTGCATTACTCAGGTGACCCCCTGATGATACAAATAAAATCTCCAGGTGGCCTCAATGCCCCTCTAAAAGGATGCAAACGTTATATTATTATCCAATAAGGTTGGATACATGGGAAAGAATATGGGTAACCAATGTGAAATTCACACAAGCTCAAAACCTGAGAGAAAATTTTTACAAGATGTTCTATAGATGGCATTTAGATCCTAAAAAGCTGGCTTCTATGTATCCGAATGTACAGCCTAAATGTTGGAGGTGTGGTTCTCTCGATGCTACATATTTCCATATATGGTGGACTTGCCAAAAGGTTAAGGCATTTTGGATAAAAATATGGTGGATTATGCAAAATATCTTCAAAAGAAGGATAAAGTTTACTCCTCAGTTATTCTTACTAGGTATGTGTACTGACTTTACAGTGGTAGAGACTAACTTGATTCTGCACCTAATAACGGCAGCAAGACTCTTGGTGGCGCAATACTGGAAGAAGGAAGACTTGCCTACAACCCAAGAATGGACATTGAAAGTCACAAACTTAGCCGAGATGGCTAAAATATCGGCATATCTTAAAGATCACTCAAATGAGAGATATAAACGAGACTGGAAAAAAATGGATTGACTATATAAAAGGATGCAAACGACCAGCTGTCTATAAGGAGTATAAATCCTTCCATTCCCCACCATCCAGTCAGAGCTGAAGAAGCTTCTTGGATGAGAAGCGAATTGTCTTCGAAGAAAAAAACAGAAAGTCCAGTTGCCTCTTATAGCAGTAGACTTATATACCGCTTCATAGGCCTTTCAGGCCTCTCTAAGCGGTTTACAGAGAGTCAGCATATTGCCCCCAACAATCTGGGTCCTCATTTTACCCACCTCGGAAGGATGGAAGGCTGAGTCAACCCTGAGCCGGTGAGATTTGAACCGCTGACCTGCTGATCTAGCAGTAGCCTGCAGTGCTGCATTTAACCACTGCACCACCTTGGCTCTTAGTAGCAATAGCAGTAGACTTATATACCGCTTCATAGGCCTTTCAGGCCTCTCTAAGCGGTTTACAGAGAGTCAGCATATTGCCCCCAACAATCTGGGTCCTCATTTTACCCACCTCGGAAGGATGGAAGGCTGAGTCAACCCTGAGCCGGTGAGATTTGAACCGCTGACCTGCTGATCTAGCAGTAGCCTGCAGTGCTGCATTTAACCACTGCACCACCTTGGCTCTTAGTAGCAATAGCAGTAGACTTATATACCGCTTCATAGGCCTTTCAGCCTCTTGAAACAAAAGCATATTGCTACCAAGATGTTCCTGTACCTCAACTCTCTTTTCTTTTTCCTTTGAAGTGGGAAGTATGTAGTATTTGCACGGAAAATTGGAAAGCCACTCTCTCGCCACTTCTGTGACACTTCAACCTCAACAAACATTTTCCAAGGATTGTAGGACTTCCGGGCAGCCCCAGAAATAGGAGCAGCTTCTTCAAGGACGTACAACGATATGTGTCCACGGCATATTTGAAACACATTTCTCCCCTTCACATCCAAACACTGCACAGCTGTACTCTGAAGGCAAAATCTGGATATTTTTTACATGATGTTGCTGCCCTTAATTATTGAGAAACCTATGAAGCAGAAAAATACAGGGTAGCTACAGTGTTTTTAGTTGAAAATGGGAAGTACATATTTAAAAGGTGGAGAAACGGGTATACTATGCAAGTATGGTACCCCCTGACTTACAACCATCCGTTTAATGACAATTTGAAGTTGCAACATCACTGAAACAAAATGAACTGTGACCGTTGCTCACACTTACAACTGTCAGAGAATCCTCTTAGGGCACTAAACTTTGGGCACTTGGCAACCCACATGCATTTATGATGGTTGCAGCATCCCAAGGTCACATGATAAGCATTTGTGACCTTTCCAGATGTCTTCTGATCAGCAAAGACAACGAAGGAAGCTGGATTCATTTAATGGCCTATGGTCCACTTAACAACTACAGCAATCCATGTAACAACAATGCAAAACAAGGTTGTAAATTCATAACTATCGCTTAGCAATGGAAACTGTGGTCATAAATTGAGTATTATCTGTACTGTATATAACTTCAGTTATGCTTTCATAGTGAATTCCAGTATGGTTGGCATCTCTACAATTACGTGGTGATGGTCTTAGGATGCATAATGTTTTTTACAGTAATAGCAATAGCAGTTAGACTTATATACCGCTTCATCAGGCTTTCAGCTCTCTCTAAGCTGTTTACAGAATGAGCATATTGCCCCCAACAATCTGGGTCCTCATTTTACCCACCTCGGAAGGATGGAAGGCTGAGTCAACCTTGAGCCGGTGAGATTTGAACAGCCGAACTGCAGAACTGCAGGTCAGCTGAAGTGGCCTGCAGTGCTGCACCCTAACCACTGCACCACCTCGGCTCTTAATGAACCCATCATGCACACAGACACACATTTCAAAATAAGCTGGTTCAAATCTGTCCATTTTTCTACATGAAGATAATATTTAAAAGTTGTGCAACCTCAAGCAGTCATCCAGATGTACTTAGTTGGGAGTTCAATAATAAGTCAAGATTCCAACTCACTTGAGAGTTGCTAAATTGCTTTTATATGAGAATGACTTTATTTTGTCACCAAGGCAATTCTGTGCTAAAACCTCTTAAAATGAATTTGATAGGCAAGTAAACAAAGACTTGAGCAATAGAATATGTGTTAAGCCTGTTGCCAATCTGTGACCTAATAAAAATTGATCAATTATTTTAGCCTGTTCCAGAATAAGCAAATCACTATCAAGAAAATGAAGGAACGTGATACCAAAAATTAAAATATCTTATGATTGGGAGGGGGGAAGAGTATAAAACAAAATTAAAATTAGTTGACAGGATTATTTATTGTTGGATTTGACTTGGTGCCATTCAACTCCAAACAACTAAAAAAATGATATTAAAAAATGATCAAGTTCTACATCAATGTGGAGAAAAGGATGCTCAAGTAGCAACAGAGCCATTGACCACTCAAGTCCCTTCATATATCCATTGCTTTGAGACTGCAGAACCAAATGCTCCATGCGTTGAGGTTTTGTTCTGAGACTGTAACAAAATGCCTTGCCTTTTGGAGTTTCATCCTGAGTTCTTCAAGTCAAACCCTCCCAAGGGCCCTGGTTCTAAAGATTCTAGTACTAAAGAAACTAGCAAGTTGACCAGAATGCTTGCAAAGCAAAGAAACTATATCATTCAATAGAATTTGAAAGTTCATTAAAAATTGATTCCAGTTTAAAATTTAGGACAACGTATTTTAAAAACGAAACCAAATTAATGCACGTACAATAGTTCCGTTAGCCATCTTTGAGAAGGAGAAAACGGCATAATAAAATAAGAATACATCCAGAGGTGGGTTCCTACCAGTTCGCACCTATTCGGTAGAACCGGTTCGTCAAATCTACCGAACCGGTTAGAAGAGGTTCCACCAGTGGACCCGGAAAGCAGGCCACACCTACAGAAGAGGTTCCCAAAAATTGTTTGAAACCCACCACTGGTCCTTGGATAGGATTATTCTACACTATCATGGGGCATCCAGTAACTTTTGGGAGGTCTGCCATAACTTCAAACAGTTGC